ATTTATATATATATATATATATATGTATACAAATATATATATATATATATATATGTATATATATATATAAGATGTGGACAATAGTACTTAGCGTATGGTGCATATACACAAGTGGCAGACACGACCAACCCTACTGTGTTGACTGTGTGTTCTGATGGTTCATTTGTAGTAACTGCGGATGGAATGGGTGTCATAATTCCCGCTTTACCTACTGCAGGCTCCACTCGACTGTTAGACACCAACCTTGTCCTAGTAAACTAATTTGGATATGTAGCTGTCATTTCACCCCTGTCGCGATGAAGGTCACCGGCAAACTTTGGTTTAAACGAGTGTGTGCGTACGTAGGTATGCGTATTCATATATATATGTATGTGTGCGTGTCAAAGAAAACATATACACATAGATGTGCTTATTACCTGAGTCTATAGTGTGCGTGTGCAGAGATAGCGAACATCGACTACAACCTGAAGAAACCTCAAGAACACCAAGCACCCACTCGTCCGGTTGTGCACATGATATGTAACTGCTGCGACTTACGATACAACGCTTCCAAACGACGACCAAATTCATATCAGGCACCAAATCATCCAAATTTAGAGAAACAAAACCAGGTTTTTGTCTACGACAGGTTTTTTGAAATCATACTTACAACGGGCATACCGGAAATAGTGGAGGTTCCGAAAGTGGACTGTGTTTGTTGTGTGCCACCAAAACCACCACCACCACCAAATAAGCCTCCGCCTGTATTTATATTGGACGTCGTATTGAACGCCGTATTGCCGAAGATCGAGCCTGAAGAGATGCATCACACACGAGAATGAGAATAGTTTAGAAGCATGTTGATGTATGGAGATCACCGAATAGCTAGCGGATTCGCTAAGGAGCCTGTGTATATATAAAAAACCCTAGTGTGAAAGACTGGCTTGTAATTGAAACAAGCATTGACATTCGGGGCATTATGTCGGAATAAGAATATACTCACAGAGATAGAAATGACACGAGAGTTTACTGCTGGCATGATTTTCACGCATATATTGGGAACAGACCCGAAATTAACGTAAAAGTCTTGCTTAACCAAATTTTGAGGTTCATGCTCGGGACTTCATACCTGTGGGAGCGGTTGATGCCGCGGGTTGGCTTTGACCACCAAATAAGGACGTTGTGCCTGTACTTAAAATAAGGGTAGAACCCAGCATTACGAATGAACAGAATGATTTGGAATATGCATTTCCAAAAAAACGTATCAGTAGAATTGACAATATCTTGACCACACGATGGCTAGTAAGTGCAGCACGTGAAACCATGCAACAAGATATGTATCGCTGTGTCAATTCTACGGATAGGCGTGTTTTTGAAGCAAGGGCGACTGCTATAGATGATAGCAAACAAACGTGCATAAAAGATGTATGGTTACTATGATAATCTTAAAAAATGTTATACTATGATAATACTATATATATATAAATATTACAATAATCTTAAATATATGTTGATGTCGAAAAATAAACAAGAATGCGTTCCTGAAGTTACTATTGCCTGTTTGTATACAACACTCTTGTATGTGCGAACACTCGCAGACAGCTCGGGCTAGATACACTGGAAACAGTCACGCATCTATACCTACAACAGTCACGTCATTGTACACACATAAATGAGGTCCGGTATCAAATAAAGTACCTGTGGTGGCACCGAATGGGTTAGATTGCTGTGTGGTATTATTTGTTGTGCTGCCAAACAAGCCTCCGGAAGGAGCGGCAGTACTACCAGTGTTGCCAAATAAGCTGGTTCCACCTATGTATACGGATCAAACGGTTAAATTCATACTGATGATCGAAAGGTAACAGGCCAGGATCGGGTATGTATTGACGCATACATCGGACTCAAATGTAAATGCATATCTGGCGAGCGTCATCGATATCGGTACATGTTTATATATGTTTCGGTCAAAGAGTCTGCGGGCTTCACTATTACTATACGATATGGTGGGATGTGTTATTCAACATGCTTCCAAGGTCGACAGCGTACAATGCAACGGCGAGAAAACAATACCATAAGCTCACGGAACACTGCAAAAAGTGGAAATAAACAACGCTACATCACGTGCAAAGCGATGTGTTTCACACATATACACACATATACACAATGTACTGAAGGTACAAATGAGAGTGAACCCACATAAAGCATGCGTAACGGACAACCAAAAAAGCCCACACCACAGGAACAAATGTAGACGCAGGATTTCAAATAAATATATACCCAGACCCAACTGCAAGGCAACATCCAAACATATACGTACACGGCTGCTCTATCCGATCGATCGAGAAAGAACCCAAAAGCACTACCTGTCGCTGTAGTAGCAGGAGCGGCGCCAAACGTATTCGTGGAAGTCGTATTGGTGTTGCCAAACAAACCGCCGCCGCCGCCGCCTGTATTGCTCTGTCCAAAAGCATTCGTAGATGGGGCTGGTGTGGACGAGAAACCCTGTGCAGGGGTGCTCGTATTGGTGGCGCCAAAACTAAAGCCGCCTGGAAGCATAACAGAGTGGGGGAGCAGGGAATGTAATAAGAAATGGTGGAATGTGACTTGATCACAGTGCATCTATAGTGCAAGCATCAGGGCATCAGAGCAAGTGGCCATGAATAGGTCTAGATATGCATTGGTGAATACAGTATGGTTGGTCCTGATATGTTCACTTACGACGATGGAACATACTGAATATTTAGGTGAATGGCCTCGAAAACTAGCCTCCAAGAATCTTGAATAACAACACTATAATATAGGG